TATTTGTGAAATAATCGCAGATGCATCTGCTAACCTTTGGATTAACATCACTTTCGGTAATCAGGTTGAGCAATACCGATCGATCAAGACTGCCGAAAGCGCTTTTGTAGTGTAAGATTATCAGTTTGACGGTCTTATTGTCCTTATCTAGTGCTGAAATTGTTGAATGAGCAAAGTATGTAATGGCATCAAGTGTTGACCGCGAGGAGCGATATGCAAATTGATGTATGTCGTCTTCTTCAGACTCAGTGACAACCCACGGTAACTAGCATCTCTCAAGTAATTTCAGCATGACTAACGTGCAGGCGATGGGACGATACTTCCCAGGTTCCTTTTTTGGAACGGGCGTTATCTCGGCCAGTCTCCGAATATCGGGGATTTTTCCGCTTATCAGACAGTCATTGAATATTTTAGACGATGGGACTGAAAGGGTGTCCGCACATACCTTGAGTACTACGGGTGATAGCTCATCCGGGCCCGATGCTTTATTCAACTTAGTTTTCAGTAGCTGTTTCAGGACTGTGGCGGGTTCGATAGTTGGTGTTGGCATAGAGCTGACTAAGTCTGGCAAGGCAGTGCAGTGTGAAACTGGACTAAACTCAGAATTTAGTCTTTCAACGTCGACAGTTTCCTTTTCGTGTTTATTGCTACTGCCACACAATCGGTTGATAGCCCTCCACATGCCACGACAACTGGGGTTTCCCAGGATAGTGTCGATGTACAATTTATTCAGTCGATTTATTTCAGCTTTGATCGAAATTGTTAGCCGCTTGACATGGATTCTTTGTCCTTGTTTATAGGCTTGTTCTTTCCGCCTGCGTAACCGCTTGTTTTATCGAATTGTGGAGGACGGTCTTTTACTTGAATTCCCCTTTGTTGAGACTTGGATTCATCTTAGCTGTCAGCTTACATTGAAGACAAATCATGTGTTCCACTTCTTCCACCAAGATCTTTTTTGTATCATCTTAAGAGTGAAAGTTCTGTCATGCTTATCTTGAATGGTCCACAATTCCATTGTTCAATTTGATTTTACCTCATTTGTAGGAGTACAACAACTTGACAGAGAAGTGGATTGTAAAGCGTGCTCATGAGGTTCTGATGGATTTTTATTCCTATCCCACCTATTCACCATTCCAAATGGTTGTCAACGCGGGAATTTCCGTAATCAAGACCCAGTATCCTTTACAGTGTTTGGCGTTGATTTTTTGTTTCAAAATTTCACGCCTGTCTATCATATCACTCATTTTTCGTTTTTTGCTTTCTGTTCAAGAAATCTTTCGCTTAAGTACAGTAATTGCCTCCATTCTGGTCAGGCGAAATGATCCAATCTGGGTTATCAGCATAATAGTCCGGAGACAAAGCTGCGGGCACGACAAATTTCAATATTCGTTCACAAAGTCTCGCTCTACTGTCATTACATTAATCTCATTGACTCGAACGTTGAGGTGGCTAACCACTTGCTTTTTCACTCAATCGTCATTCCTAACGTGTAAACAAGAAGTATGAAAAGAATCGGAAACCGGATAAAAGTTGGTGGACGCACGAATTGCAGTGTTTGCTGCACAGAGCAATACATATCACTTAGTTCCTATTATCGAGTAAACTGGTTTGAAGGATTCCAACCTGGGCACCTGCTACAGCCTACGCAACCAAGTCCACCAGTTAGGGTTTTCAAATCCTATTCTAACCCTCTAAATCTTCTTCTAGTCATGACCTATTTCGACAAACATCACGACTCAGAAGCCTATCTGGTGAGATGCTTGCTGCATGCCACAATCATCCCACTTTATTGCGGTAATACACTTGGGTAAATGCGCGGTTGTAAATCTCTGTCAAACCTGCAATCTTAATATTGTTTGTCCGGTTCTCCTACCCGACTTGAGAAACGTTATTCAGAAAACAATATTCGAACTCTGATAGTCGGTGTTCATCCCAACGGTCAGGCCGATATCTTGACAATGCCATACCCATGTCCCAGACGGACAAATGCCAAACGAGCCATATGCGTGCGTGTAGTTACCTCATCTAACGAAGATTCAACCACGAAAGTAACGAAAGTTCAATCAGAATAGAATGAATCCAATCTTTTAAAGACACCGTAGAACCACACAAACATCCATGTTGATATTCAGAGACCCGAGCAGGTCAAGCAGTTAAATGTTGGTCGAAACTGAACCGAGTGTTACAGATTACAGCTGTTTATGAGAAAAGGGGATGTCCGTGGTCTTCTCCGTGGTCTTCTTTTCGTGTTAAGTTTACTTGATAGTTATATTGATCAGGTTTCCCCGTGCTTTCTCATAGTTTGCACGAGTTTCTGTTAGATTGCCAATGAACATAATGAGAGTAAGTGATAGAATGTGACTTTCGGGTCGGCGTGATATTTCCATGTACCTCATTTGACCGCGGTCGTTTCTACGATCCGGCCAATTTGAAGATGGACAGACACCGTATGAATCTCAGGTTTATGGCAAAAATAGGTCCCTGCACGTGTTCCTGTTGTTTATCATAAAGTCTATCCTCTAGAACGAATTGGAAGATACAGTGAAAGCGCAAGGCTGTATAACATTTGGTGACAACTAGTTGACTCGGGTTACGCGCGGTTTGTTAACAAACACGAGAAGACTTCTCTGTATCGCTTTCATACCTTTCCTTTGTGCGCGCGTATGTTGCCGATTTGTGGGACACGGTACCGCACGTAACATCGGAGTAAGTAGAACGTCGATGATTCACAACCGGTGTTGTTACATCTTGGAACGATTAGCACCGAGACAGGACGAACTAGGAATAGCGACGAGCGCGTGCGTGCGCGCGCGCGAGCGAGAGAAAAGTGGGTGAAAATAAGGAGTTTCGGAGACAGGCCAACTGCCTGTGATTCATTTCGCCCGAACCCCAATCGTATTGTAAACACTGAACAGTTGTGTGCACGGTGAGATCGATCATTGTACGATTTGGGCTTGAATTGTCACTCATTTGTGTGCGTGTTTGTGTGTGTATGCGTGATAACTTTGCGCGTTCACCTAATCATGTTAAACCCATAATCCCTATTGGATTCCTGTTTAAAACAGCTTTCTGCCCCCATTAAACACAAACTTCGCTATGCTTATTGCAATCTATCTGTTCAATCGCATGTTAGTTTAACTTCGTTTTCAGATACGATACGGCTTTCAGAATCCGTGAGTTAACTAATTGTTAATTAAACGCGGTAGTAAGCGTCTTGCCCCTGGGATTTCAAGTGTATATGGGTTTTTGGGGGTTTGGCGTGGGGAGATAGTTTTGCTGTCACCCAACTCGATGTCACGCGTACTCCAATGGGGTATTATGTGACTCGTCACTTCTCATCCAAACGCTCTACTCATCGATCTCTTTTGACGAAAAGAGTAGTTAACTACAACTGTGGTGCTGATTCCTTGTATTGTGT